AGCTTCGATTTTTTTATAACGATATCATTAGAAGGCAGAATGATTACCTCAGATTGCTAAATCGACCTCAAATTCCATACTTTGTAAGCTAAAAAATGAAAATTTCAAATAACGAATATGGCCCATACTATGGTAGAATCCGCATATATAGGGACAACCCCAACATACGGAACAAATCAGTTAACTACTTTAATATAAACGGGGTGCTATATTGGGACTAAGCTTAAAAGGGCGAATTTTATTAATTTTTGGGAGAAGATTTGTTACCATATACGACTTCAAAAAGCCAAATTACAGAGAATTCGGTAGAAAAACGCGCTCAAGGACCCCAAAATACCTAAAATTGAGGATACCTTTATATGGAATAATTGGCCGATATTTAAAATTTTTAGTGGACAGATTTGCTACACAATAAGAACTCAAATTACAAAATTACAGGAAATTCGGTCGAAAAAAGATCAATACCTCTAAAATACCGAAAATTAAGGGTTACCGTTATACGGGGGCTACAACAATAGTGGACCTATATCTATAATTTTTGTGGAGACATTTGGAACCATTAAGAACCTAATGTACCAAATTTCAGTGAATTCGATTGAAAAACGCTCCCAAGTACCCGAAAATACTGAAAATTGGGGGTTACAATTATGTGGGAGCTAGCCGGAAAAAATTGCCTATATTTTTAATCTTCAGAGGATTGCTACCCAAACCGAAATCTAAGTAATGCATTACATCCACTTCGGTCGAAAAATGCGGTCAAACCCCCTTAAAAACTGAAAATTGGGGGATATCGTTACATGGGGGCTACCAGAAAAAGTGGACCTATATTTATAAATTTTAGTGGAGAAATTTGGTACCCCATAATAACCCAATGTACCGAATTTCAGGGAATTCGGTTGAAAAATGCGCAACATACCGAAAATTGAGGTTGCCCTTATATGATAGATATGCCTAAATATTGGCCGATGTAGCACATCATTGAACTTGACCTGCCTGCAGACAAATGACGATGAGTTACAAACGGAAAAACAAAGTTAATATACCCTCCATACTATAGTGGATGGTATAAAAAGAAATGCGCATTGGATGTCCTGTCTCCAAAGGTGTAATTTGCAATGGTGTATTTTGAAGGTCCCAACAAAAGTAGTTTGTCTTTTCAGGTATTTAAAGAATTTGGTTTACATAGGCCTATTTTTTAATATGGTAGCCACATTTATATACCTATGTGTCTGCAATTTGGTATTTAATTTTCCCAGAGAATAAAACCCTACTTGTAGACAATTTGCAATATACGCCCATGTGTGGACATAGCCCCATATTTGGTATACTTACCAACCAACATTAACTCAAGGACGTTCGGTTTAAAAATTGCTAGAAGTTTAGAGGAAATAGGAAATACTTAGGTGGGAACAGAAAATTTAAAAGGACTCCGTTTTATGTTCATAAATTAAAGACCTGAGAAAAGGAGACTGGCTGTAGATAATTTTTTAACAGAAACACCAGAACCTCTTCCAGACCCATGTCCAGACATATCTCTCATATAATGAATATTTTACTTACTACAGAGGTGGCTTGAGCCAGTACAATTTTTCTACAATCCGACGTTAAACAAATTTCAAGGCGCATCAGTGTTGTGCGCATCTCTTATGTCTTTCACTTGATCTTTCCATCGAATTCGTGGCATTCCCTTTCTGGGTGAATCATCACTTGGCTCACTTTTATATACCTTTTGAGTTGAGGCATGCTCATCCATACTCAGACCATCACTAAGCCACCGTAATCACTTCAGCTCGAACCGTCTGACTACGTCGATGTCCAAGAATAGATGTTACAACTCATGGTTCATCTACTTGTGCATTACCATTGACCATATTTTCAATCCGTGCCAAATCCTGTAAAAGACCCACGAAAACCACATCGACACATTCCAACTATTCGTTAACTATAAACTAGCACTCCATAGCCCTATTCGGTCTTAGGTGTTCAAAGTCATGTTTAAGTTTCGCATTCCTGCAAAATTAATACGGCTATGCTGGATAACTTTAACTGGCACAAGGTCAGCAGTTAAATTGGGAACGGACCTCTCGGAGTCTTTCAATACCGAACGAGGGTTCAGACAAGGTGATACCCTCTCGTGTGATCTTTTTAACATCTTGCTGGTAAAGGTCATACGAGAGGCAGAGGTGAAGAGAAATGACACTCTGTACCCCAACAACACATGTTACTCGCATACGCCGATGAAATCCACATAATGGGTCCAACAATGAGCTTGAGAAGGAGTCTGCCAAAGTGGATCTTGCATTAAATGGCGACAAGACCAAGATGATGGAATCAAAGCGGAAGACGTCCAGAAGACCCGGAGATAATTAAAGAACTTATATAAACAAAACCAATAACATCAGCTTTGATACCCTTCATATAGTCTCCTATCAGACATCAGACATCGCCTTTTCGAAAGAACATTGACGTGAAATTGAACGAAGATACGAATCAGACGAAAATACGTATGAACCGATTTCCACGAAACTTAGCACACATCATTCTAGACTTAAGTTAGTATGCTATGCCGCATTTCGTGCAAATCGAAAGATATTTAGGGACTTTGGCGCACCATTTACCTTAAATCGGACGAAGATATATAGACTTACTAGACTTAATTCAGTATGATATGCCAAATTTGGTTCAAGTCGAAAGATATAGGGGGCCTTGGGTACACCATTTACATTAAATCAGACGAAAATATATATGGGAGCTCTATCTAAATCTGAACCTATTTCAAGAAAATTTAGCATACAATTCAGTACACTAAGCCAAATTTCGCTAAATATAAAGGATATATATGGACTTTGTTGCACCATTTACCTTAAATCAGACGAAAATATATATGAGAGCTATATCTAAATCTGAACCGATTTTTCCCAATTTTAATAGCGTTCGTCCTTGGGCCAAATAAATGAGCTGTGCCGAATATAAATCGAGCTGCAGCGACTACATTAGATCATGTTGTGAGAATGGATGAGGATGCCCCAGTTTAAAAGGCATATGAAAGCGAGCCAACTGATGGTTCAAGGGGAAGGAAGGCCACGAATTCGATGGAAAGATCAATATCAAGGAAGAAAACATTTCGCAACATGGCCATTCAAATTGGAAGAGCTGCGCAAAAGACCGACTAGTCTGGAAATATTTTTTAAGTTCGGCTTATGGAACAAATGTTTCGTCAAAAGCCAGCTAAGTAAATAAAAGGTGTATGAAGTTATACAACTTATACACCATCGGGACCGACCATACGATACCCTACACAACTACCATGTAACAAAATTTCTGAGCCTGGGCAATATTTCTTGATATTTGCACCCTCTTGCCCGATTAGAGTTCAACAGCACCTCTTGCTTACAATAACATATTTTCCGAATATTACTAATATTCAGTACAGCCGCCCCTCTAATTACTTGTCCAGATTCCCTTCACCATAGGTGGTGTTGTGATGTTCGGTTTATAATTGTGGCCTATAGATCGTCTCGAAAAACAAAAAAACAAACAAAAAAGTTTTCGGTCCACTTCATCCCGAATTGCTATGTGATCATCACCAAAAATTGTAGGCGTTGTCCTTGACCATAACTGGAATCTCATGGAAAATTTCCGCCCTCTAGTGTGGTAATGGGTTACTAAATAATATCTGAACACATAAGCACCTGTAAATATTTACGTGGTACTCCCACATCCGAGTACATACCACAATATAATTGGTATCAATTTAAAGGCCAACCACTCCTCTTGGATATACTATCAACTTCTCGGCTCTATATATGTCATAGAATACAAATTTTGTCATTTTTCACACAAAACTCATGGTCCATTTGACCCGCTAAATATTGACCGATCTTTATCAAAACAGGTATGCTTATTCTTTGGCACAATCCCCTTCTCCATGGAAAAATTCGAGATGTTTGGGCCATAATTGCGGCCTCTGGAGCGACCAGAAAAACCGACAAAAATTAAGTATTTGGTCCATTTCATCCCCTAAATATTTTCCGATCTTTACCAAAAAACAATAGGGGTCTTCATTAGGCCGAACCCATCCTACATGCAAAATTTCGTGAAGATTGGTCCATAACTGTGGCCTGTATCGTGTTTACAAAATATAATGGACAAACGGACGGACGGACACACATGTCTAGATTGACTCAGATAGTCGAGATATGACGATTGGTATACTTAAAGGTGGGTCTAGGACCAATATTTCGCGGCGTTACAAACTCTTGGAGCTGCACAAAGCTATAATACCCTGTCAACATAGTTGTGTAGGGTATAAAAATCTTAGGAAAATCTCTTGGTTGTAATTACAGTGGCTTAGGTTAAATTTCGTTAAATTTTATTGAAGATACCAACAAATCCCACTTGTTGTACAGCAAGTGGCAACACTAATATATATATTTCATTTAGTTCATATGAAAAAGCAGAACGATGAGTAACCCAATATTTTTTGATTAAGAGAATGCGAATGAGCGAAGTACACGCCATGATAAGCAATACTATGAACTGTGTGTAGATTTCTGAGTAAATGAGATTTTGAATAAAAATACAACAAATCGATCGTCGGCTACTCAGTCCGATACAGAGCGAGGCAACTAGACAACTTGAGTTCTTTTTCATATATTATCCGTGGAACCAGTTTCACAGCTAGTCAGAAACATTTTGTACGCGTTGAAGAGAGGATATAAACGTTAAGTGGACGTATTATTTTTTTGGAACGGAATTGTATTTTGAAAAGAAATTTCATATGCCATAAGCTTTGAAAGCAAATAAAGAAGAAGAAGAAAAAAGAACCAAAGAAAAATAAGTGATAAACAAGAAGAAACAAATATTACTTTGTAGAGAGAAATATAAAAAGGAAATTGTGAATTTTTTGAACAAAGAAGTGGAATAAATTGATATTTTTGTAATTTTTACAAAAACTAAAAAAAAGAAGTGAAAAGAATTTGATCCAAAAACAACAAGAACAACAAAAATCCAAAAAACAAAATGGAAAGTGTAGAAAATAAAACTGCCACCGGAAATGGCAACGCTGCCGTTGTTGAAGCTAAAGATACCCAAAATCTGTTGCCACATTTGGAATCATTGGAACGTATTATTAAATTGCCAGTAGTTGGTGCTGCCTGGGATAAATCTCAAGATGTCTATGGCAAAGTTAAAGGTAGGTAACCAAGCAAGCAAACAACCAACCAACTTCACTCGTTGCAGTGAGTGGAATTAAAAAAATGTAAAAAGAAGAAGAAGCAGAAGAGAAAATGACAAATGACAAATGAGTTCCAAACACACAAAATGGCAAAAATTATTGGAGTTAGAAACTTCATCATCGACCATAACAACAATGTAACAGACACACACGCACACACACACCAAGTTCAATGAACTGTCATTCTAACGTTCTCAATGCTTCTCTGACATTGCGTGTAAGCATGTATGTGTGTTGTATACTAACTATCTTGGAGAAACCTTGAGAGATTCTAAAGACCCCAAGAAAAATAAAAAACGGTTATTATATATGTACATACTTGTCAGAAAAATAAATGTCACTTGCATTATGTAAAACAACAACCGCAGCAGCAGCAACAACAACATGTTGTAAACAACTGTCATTCGGTTGGCGTTGTAAAGTCGGTCGTTTTTTTTTTTTTTTTTTGTATGCAAATTAACCGTAATTATTATTACTTCGTTCAGCCAACCACACCATATTGCCAATTGATGGTAAGGCCAAGCCATGCAAATCGCTCAAAATGCTTTCTGGGTGAAGCCATGTTTAGTTTTTGTATGTCGGTCGACATACGGTCTGAAACGAACATTTTTGACATGTGGTTTTCTTTTTTGTTGCGTGTGGTTTTTCATTAAATTATGTGATTCAGATATGGCAGAGAGAGGGGATTTGTGTAAAAAAACACCCAGATTTTTTAAATTTTATTTTCCCCAAACAAAACCACCTTCACCCTTCACCACTATGGGTATATTAAACAGGACTATTATCATGAAATTGTATGAAATAAAATATGAAACTATATATGGGAGCTATATCTAAATCTATACCGATTTTCTCGAAACTTGGCAGACATCATTCTAGGCTCAATTCAGTACGTTATGTCAAATTTCGTGCAAATCGAAAGATATATAGGGACTTTGGTGCACAATTTACATGACATCGGACGAAACTATATATGGGGCCTATATCTAAATCTGGACCGATTTTCTCGAAACTTGGCACACATCATTCGAGGCTTAATTCACTACGTTATGCCAAATTTCGTGCAAATCGAATGATATATAGGGATTTTGGTGCATAATTTACATGAAATCGGACGAAACTATATATGGGAGCTATATCTAAATCTGGACCGATTTTCACGAAATTTGGAAGACATCACTCTAGGCCCAATTCAGTACGTTATATCAAATTTCGTGCCAATCGAAAGATATATAGGGACTTTGGTACACCATTTACATTAAATCGGACGAAAATATATATGAGAGCTATATCTAAATCTGAACCGATTTTTCCACAATTTCAATAGGGTTCGTCCTTGGGCCAAACAAATGAGCTGTGCCAAATTTCATTCAATTCGGATCATAAATGCGACCTGTACGTTGCTCACAAAAATACATGGACAGACAGACGGACATGCATAAATCGAATTAAAAAGTGATTCTATGCATATTCTCAAAAGGAACCATGGGTCTATCTCTTTTCGTTTTGCCTGTTACAAACATATGCACAAAGACATAATACCCTGTACCACAGTGTGGTGAAGGGTAAAAATAGTTCTAGGGATTCTGGTAACAGCGATGTACTGTTTTTCTTGCGAAAATCCATATTTCCTGAGACATGGACCTCCAATTTTCCTATGGAAATCTTGAGGACTCTCGTAATTGTTTTTTATTCACCACTACGATATGGTTATTCATTTGAAGCGATTGATGAACTCCACTATAATTTATCTGAAATCCTCAAATTATTGGCTATTGGGAGCTGTCATAACATGGGTTATGTTATGTCAAAACATGGATCAATATTGATAATTTCCTATATATGAGATAATTTCCAAATTACAGAGAAAATACGACAAAAGCTTCAAAATACCGAAAATTGGGACCTATACCAAAACAAAAAGCGATAATTTTTGGTAGGAAAATTTGACACGTTGTGGTAATCTGAAAAATCAAATTTGAGCCTATTCTCTTGTAAAACGTGCCAAATATTTCAAAATATCGAATAATGGGGCCTACCCGGGAAGATGAACGAATATTTTGGTAGGGAGATTTTTCTACTTAAAGAGAATTTCAAATATAATACTAAAATTTTGGATGTAGCGGTTAAATGGGGGCTGTCGTAGAAAGTGGACCAATATTGAAAATTTTTAGAAGGAACATTTTAAACCAAAATACCAAACAACAGCTGATTAGAGTGAAAAATTGCTCAAACTTGGGTCAATATTAATAATTTTTAGTACGCAGATGTGCTATGCAATGAGAATCCAAAATATTAAATTACAGCCAATTCGATTGAAAAACGTACCCAAAATCCCCTAAATACCGAGTATTGGGTGTGCTGTTATATGAGGCCATCCTGAAACTTGGGTCAATATTAATAATTTTTAGTACGGAGATCTACTATGCAATGAGAATCCAAAATACCAAATTACAGTCAATTCGGAGGAAAAATGGTTCCAAAATCCCCTAAATACCGAAAATTGGGGGGTACCGTTGTGGTGGGTCTACCCTGAAACTTGGGTCAATATTAATGGTACGGATTTTGTGTCATTCAAATTACAGAAAATTCGGTGAAAAAATGTGTCCAAAACCCCCTAAATACCGAATATAAGGGGTGTGGGGGTAACGTTATATGGGAGCTACCCTGAAACTTGGGTCAATATTAATAATTTATGGTATCGATATGTGCTATACAATGATACAAAATACTAAATTACAGTCAATTGGGTTGAAAACCGTGTCCCAAAGCAACTTCAAAATGTGGACCGAAATACTTCTTTTTAAATACTAAACAATTTTAGAGGTAATAGCTACGTATATGCCAAATTCCAAGGCTCAATCATGAATATTATGAGCTGTATCCTAATTTCATCGGACGGACGCATATAGTTAAATCGTCATAGATTTTTATTCTGACCAATAATAAATACATATACTCTATTGTGTCTCACGTGAACATTTCGAGGTCTTGCAAACGTAATGGCACTTTGTGGCATAAAAATGGATTTTGAAGTTTTGGTATTAATGAAAAAATTATACATAACAATATTTTCTAGAAACACCTTCATCTACCTTACACAGATACCACACCCTATACCTCATCTAGTGTTTACCTATTGCCAACAAATTGTAGTATATAGTTTGTTTTTTTATTAATTACAATTAAGGTTCATTGTAAAAAGAAAACACAACAACAACTACAATACAATTACATACATATTTAATAACAATAGTTTATATTCAGTTAGAGAATTTGCCATATGAATGAATGACTGGCTGACTGACTGAAAAATACACCCAAGAAAATTTTTTCTCACAATTTGTATGGCAGCCACTATCTTCTCATTTTTTGCCACACCTCCCTGCCCTACCTCCTGCTCGGGCCAATTATAATTGAAAACAATTAAATTTAATTGAAATTTAAATTCTCAACAATATGATGACTGTAGTAGATGGAGGGAAAGAAAAATTCAGCAAATTGACTGATGGCGGCCAGTCAATGAAAAACAATACGTATCTGGAAGGGGACCAATTATTCGAAAATCAATAAAACGAAAGCTAAATGGCAAAAAACAACAACATATTGCCAATATTCAATAATACTAATAAATAATGTAAATAAAGAAGTGGGAACGTGGCAAGGGATGCGTGTTGGAGGACAAAGAAAACCCAAACATTTATTTCTGGAATATTGATTTGTACGACCGACCGACCCATCCGACATATGTAAATAAGTTTGTAATTTCCATAATTGATTTAAATTGAACACAAAATGAGAAAGATCGGTCATTTTCTCCATACAGAGAAAGGGATAAATTATTTTTACCAATTTAAATATTCAATAGATCTTCAGAATATATTTTTTCATAAATATTCTTTTAAAAATCCACACCTTGTAGTGGTCCCTAAAAAATATTCGTTTAAAAATCCACATCTTGTGGTGGTCATTACAAAAATATTCTTTTAAAAATCCACGCCTTGTGATGGTCGTTGAAAAAAATATTATTTTAAAAATCCACACCTTGAGGTGGTCCTTAAAAAATATTCTTTTAGAAATTAACCCTTGTGTTGGTGCTTAAAAAAATCTTCTTATAAAACCAACTGTTATATTGGTCCTTGAAAAAATATTCTTTAAAAAAATCACGATTGGATTGGTCTTTGAACAGAATACTATTCTTAAAAATCTTCGTTAATACTTTAAAAAATTCAACACATAGTAGGGTCCTTGAAAACATATTCCCTTAAAAACACGCTTCTTGTGATTCTTGGAAATATATATAAAAAACCAGTGAGCGGAGCAGTATAGTCGGACGGGGCCGACCATATAATACCCTACACAACTTCCACGAAAATGTAATTTGCGTTATTTGCACCCTCTTGAAATCCGACTAAATCTCTTTACCGTGGTTTATGTTGTGATGTTGGACCCTCAACTGTGGATCGATTCAAAATAAAAAAAACACAAAAAGTTAAGTTTTTGGTCCACTTCATCCCAAAATTCATCATCACCGAAAATTACTGAAACCTCATAGAAATTGTCAAAGCGATCAGCGCTATATTTCCTCCCTCTAGTGTGGTTTTGGGTTACAAAATAATGACTGAATACGTAAGCACCTGTAAAAAATACCATATAATTGGTATCAATTTAAAGGTCAACCACTCCTCTTGAACATACTATCAACGTTTTGGTCTAGGTCCTTCAGGGGCAAGTATATACGCCATAGAATACAAAATTTGTCATTTTTCACACAAAAGTCTAGGTCCATTTTACCCGCTAAATATTGACCGATCCTTATCAAAACAGTCATGCTTATTCCTTGGCCCGATCCCCTTCTCCATGCAAAAATTCGCGGTATTAAGCCATAATTGCGGCCTCTGGAGCGACCAAAAATTAAACAAAAATAAAGTTTTTGGTCCATTTTATCCCCTAAATAT